ATAAGATGTTACAGAGTTGGTAGGCTTAGTGTAAAATCACAAAGGTTGACAAAATTAAGGGTAACAATGAGGTGAAATAAACTGGGTGGAGAAATGTATAATAAAGACATGATATCACAGAATGATAATAATGGTAATAATAATACGGAAAATTATGATCCTGGTGACCTTATAGTGGGCCAGGGTAGACAGAGGGAGTGAATAAGTTTTTTCTGTACACATAAGTCTGATCTTTCTCTATTAATCTCTAAAGCCTCAGCTATGGCTAGGAGGCGTAATCGTGTGCCTTTGGGGAGATTGTTTGGTACTCGATACACAACTGTAAATGACTGGTCTACTTTGATGCGGTGTTCGCTATCCACTAGATGAGACAGAACTGCACTATTTATTGATTTGGTTGCTCTTTTCCCAAGTCAAACAGGAATATGTTCACGAGTGAGTAAAGATAAATTCCTTTGTGTACGACCTATATAACTAGCTCCACAGGAGCAGTTGAATTTATATATACACACTGATGTTGCCATTTTGGGTAATCTATCTTTAATGCACAGTGTCAATATCGAGAAACTGACATGCAGTTTTGCGGCATTAAAAGTTCTTTCAATTGATCTCGTTAATCTACGCTTTAATATATCGCTGGATATATCGCCTTTGAATTGTAAATTTAAGTAAAGCTTTTTCTTACTTACTGTGTCTCGCTTAGTCTTATGTATATTTTCATAGATATACTTCTTTACAAAGTTGGTAGGATAGTCGTTTTGTAACAAGGCGTTTGTAAGATTTCTTATTTCACCTTCAATACAATCTTCGGTGCATATGCGTCTAATTCTATGGCTAAGACAATGGATTAGGTTGCGCCTATATTGTATAGGTATGAAGCTATGGAAGTGGGTGTACTGTCCATTCCACGTCGCTTTCCTATAGATGTTTCTCTTTAAGGTACCGTCTGTTCTTTTTTGTAAGAAGAACATCCAGAAATGGAATGCTACTTTGGAGTTCCTCTTCACAAGTAAATTTAATAGCTGGGTGTACCTTATTGAAGACTTGGAGCAAGTGTTGTTTATCCAAATTATTGTTACAAATGATAAAGATATCGTCAACATATTGACAATAATAAACTGTATTGTTGGGGTACATGTATAATATGGAATGGTAGTTCGTTATTCAATTATGTTCTGAATGAATGTACATATTAAATGTCCAGTTATTCAGAACATAAGACAGAGTGTGAATAGACAAATGGGTGACATACTGGTGTATTTATAGTCAACAGGATATAAGTTTCATTGTGTGGTGGGGTGAGTGAGTCACATTCAATGGTATGCGAGGAAAATGATTACCACGAAATACACGCAAACAAATACCGAAAAATGCGGGAACACTGAATGTAGGTTCAAGCAAGGGCTGACAGATCTCAGGTGTAGTGATAAAATAACGAGGTTAAATTGTGAACCGTAATAATATACTAAAGATATAATTAGCTTAGTGTAAATGACAAAAGGTTGACACATAATAATGGTGATAATGGAGTAAAGTGAACTAGGTGGCCAACTATAAGGTCAGTATGGACATAATCATCCATATTTTCATGTTATATTATGCCTTTCTTATTCTTTTTCATCTGATGAATTATTCTATATAAGTGACATTAATTGTTTTTCCGCTTGACATTTAACCAGTGATTATGATCACATATGTTTTAATTGCATTTCATACTATTATTATTCTTTCAAGTATTCACACCTTTGATTCAATATTAATTAATGAGCTATCACTCCACATTATACATGTGCCCCAACAATACAGTTTCGATGTAATTTTCACATGCTTTTAATGGCTATTTGTTTGATAATGGATTCATGGATTTATAACTGTGGAGTCTGAGGAAGAAGTTATCGAAACCATATTTGTTCGCTTTAAATCATCGTGTATTAATAATAAATAATGGAATGACGTGCTTATGGCTGTATAAACAACAAAAGTGAAGGTTTCCAGAGGTGAATTGTTAACAGTGGCATGACAGAGAGTATGAATACTACAAAGAAGAAAAATGAAACAAATATGATTCTCTGGATATAAGTTCGAGTGGTGACAAATAACCACAGTGATAATAATAATAATAATAATAATAGTAATAATAGTGTTATACAAACACAGTGGCACTATTATTGAGTGAATATCAAGTAATGCTGCTGCTGCTGTTTTCGACATTGAACTTTGTACATATGTGCGGCAGTTTAAATTAATATACGTATAAAGCCTGGGCACTGTGGTTTCATGTTAATTTGTTTATTGAATATACCACACACAATGAAACAATCTTGTTTACCGGATGACAAAGTTTCGAACATAATTCATTGTTCATAATCATAACAATTGTATGCACACAATTTCAAAACTTGATTTTTATAGTTTTCCTTCTTTCTTCCCATTTGTTGTAGGGTTAGTAGAATACTCCAGATGTTCGGGACGGGTGCTGAATCATTTCTATTGGACCTATTCTCAGTTGATTCGATAAATAAGGCTTCAGTTGCCCCAGTCTCTCCCTTCACCCTATTACATTAGATTCACCTTATCCTATACTATCGTATGGTTGTGCCTGTCTGTCTATTTTCGACATAGAACTTTGCACATATGTGCGGCAGTTCAAGTCACCACACTCCATGTAGCATACAAAGGAAGAGAAGAAAGTAGGAGAAATGCATAATATAGACAGTAAACAGAGGTGTGAGACAAAAGTAAAGTGATAACGAAGAACAAAAATGTTTAACTGGAAATCATAAGTCACAAGGAGTGCCCCATTGAGAACGATTTTGAGCCACGTCACCAATTGTTTCCAACCATTGGTTTTTACTGTCCCGAGGACCCCAACCAGTCAGGAAGTCTACACATTTCTACGTGGCTTAGACTAACTGTTGTGGATTTCATTGACTGTTGCCATGTTTTCGTTTGACCGCCGCTAGCTCTTTTCCAGCCTGACCCTATATCAGCTAAAATTGCCCGTCGAGGTATACGTAACACATGTCCTAACCATCTCAGTCGATGTAATTTCACAGTCTCGTCGACTGGTTTCCCCGCCTTACCTAGCACTCGACGCCTAACCTCAATATTGCTCACCTTATTATAGCACTTCACACAGGAGATAAAACACAAGCACCTATGATCAGAGACAGCTAGCCAGCCTTTTCATGTCTTCCGCTCTCGATGGCCAGGTCTCACAGCCATAAAGGAGGACGGAGCGGACTGTTGAGCAGTACACACGCACTTTGGTCGATAGTCGGATATCACGTCTACGCCAGAGACGGCGTAAACTGGCATATGCGAAACTAGCCCTCTGTATCCGTACTGAGATTTCGTTAGAGATCAACCCGTTGGGGCTGATGGTACTTCCCAAGTAAGTGAAGCGGTCAACGTGTTCTACCACTTCACTTCCTATTTTTAATCTAGGGGTCGGTGAAGTCCAATCCTGCAACATCATCTTACATTTTACAGGGGCGAATCGCATGCCAAACATACGAAGATTGTTGCTCAAGGTGTTCAGAAGACTCTGCATTTTGTCAGCGTCCTCGCCTAGAAGGACTATGTCGTCTGCATATTCTAAGTCAACGAGATTATTCCGTGCAAACAAGTCAATCCCTGAGTCTCTGAAGTTAGTTAGGGTTAAGTCCATTAGTACGTCTATGATGAAGTTGAATAGAAATGGGGACAATGGGCATCCTTGACGGACGCTACTAGTCGTCACCACTTCAGATGACAACTCGCCATAAGCCCTCACCTGGCTGCATGAGTACGAGTAGAGTGCCTTAATCAGTGCAATGTATTTTCTCAAGTAATGATGAGTCTGATCTACTTAGAAAGAAAAGAATTGTATGAATGCAGCGACAAATGTGAAAAGAATGTGTAATCCTAAGGACTTAACCAATATAATGAATGGTAAGTGACGACTAAGTGAAAATCGGCGTTACGACAGCATACGAACTAGTTGCTTCAGAAAATGATAATCTAGTTGGCAACTGAATCCCGTCGCTCAGCTATTGGAGGACCAGCGAACTGTCAAGAGGGTACTAGTTCAAAGTCTGCTGTGACCTAGATTTTCGTTTAATCTTCATTCATCACCTGCTACATAATTTGGTTTTCTCCCTGTTCACGTAATGCTTATCAGAAGTGCTATTGTATTCACATAGTCATTTACTCTTCAAGTGTATAAAATGGATTGTTACTTGATAATCCTTACGGTAGGACTACCTTCGTATTTACACTACTTCATTTTGTAGTCTTAAATCTAATATATTCTGTTTGTTTGTTTTTGATCGTTCTGGTAATCATATTTCCCCTCATAATGTACCAGTAAGAATTCACCACTTGAAAGCTTCACCTTCGTTAATTATAAATTTATAAGCACGTCATTCATTTGTTTTATAACGATGGTTTTGATCAACTTTATATTTTATATGCCTTTAAGTGACAAGAAAAATCAACTACCTACTATTCCAACTTCTACGCCAACCATATTTGATTCTACCTACTATAATACTGTTTCTAACAGAATTTCATTTTACTGGTTATTACTGGCTGCGGTATATTAACATTAATAGATTTATAAACTGTGGAGCTTGAAGAAGAAGTTATTGAAAACAGTTATACTCTCCGACTACTCCTTGTACTGAAGAGTATTCAAATTATTAAAAGAAAACTTACTAAATGCTATAGATTTATCGAGAGAAAAAATCCAATCCTTTCACACATTTTCAGTCAAGGACTAGTTAAACATCATAAACTAATTTGTCAGCGTTTTGTTACATCATTTGACTATTTGTGTTTGATACAAGATATCAGTCAACAGTTTGAATTCAAAACAAAAACAGCATAAATAACAACAGGTAATAGACTGAAATCCTATTTTAAAAATAGTACTACTAAAGGCAGTTTATTTAAACAATGCATTTACTTTCAAATATCTTAATAAGTGTTACATTCACACATGAATAATACTAACTTACACATCAAAACTTAAATAGGCTAACACTTGATTTATGTGTCCTTCTGGTATATCGTCAATTTTAGCCAGATAACGATAGAATTCTAACCACTGTTCAAATGGTAGTCTAGCAGCTCCACCTTCAGGATCAGCTGTTAAAAGTTCACATATCAACTTCAAGGTTTCTGATAATGTCTAAAAGAAAATTAAATAAACAAATAAATAAAGTCGGATTGTGTGTGTTTCCTTAAGTTGCAATTCATTGATTAAGATCTTTCATTATCATTAGTATTGTTCGTTTGAATGTTCTCTTATTTATATGTTTTAAACAAGATAAATTTTAAAATAAATTACTTTGTTACGACGGACAAGCTTCTTTGCTGGCTGAGAAGTTGTGATTTTTCCATATGTTGACCCAGTTTAATTCAGTTTAATTCACCAATTTATAGCTCATTTTTCCGAGGGATTTTGATATCATGCAGTCAGTCGGATTTGTTATATTTAGGGCTTAAATTTGTGAGGATTTCATAAGTATAGTATACCATGTATTTTGTCTAATGAGAGTTTTTTTCATCTTATCCGTCATTTTTTCCAGTCTCAGTGTGAGAGATATTTTCAAGTGGTCATCTGATTATAATGTCATGTCCTGGAGGCGCATAACCCAGTATGACTCCATCATAACGCACTTGTAAAAAACACAATGGGAAAAGAGTTGGCCAATCAGATAAACCAACTCATTATATTGTGATTTACAGGATTAGAAGTATTAACATTTCCAAAAGAGGAAACGATATGAACAGAGTAGTGCTAGAATAATGTTTATTACGAAAACTGAATAAGAGATACTGTTTAAAATAGTAAAACAGTAAACACATCTGCACTACAATAGTTAACTTTAAGAAGTTTGCTGAATCTCAAGACATATATAGACCTTCAGTAATCTGCATAGTTCTACAGTATCTGAGTGTTCTGCATGTTACTGCCTCCCATTTTACAGAGATTATCTCGGCTAATGTATATGTTTTTCTTGAAGAGACTTTTGACTTTAATCAGCAGGATGTACTGTAGCTTCATTTCACATGTAAATCCAAACAGCACTGACTAATATAGTTCGTTCTGTTCAGTGTTGTTTGTGAAATAACGTAAAACAAATAAGTAGAGGTAAAAAGAGGCCTTTTCTGCCTTGGTAAACTTCTTTAATTACAAAATATATCAGGTGATACATTTCTTGAAATGTAACGCATAACTTTATTTTTCATTGTGAAATCCACTAGTAAATTACGATGCATTTATTATCTGCATCATGCATTTTTGAAATGTTCCTAAATCTGTACATGTAGGATTGGTTTTGTAAACCTTCTTTTGATCTGATGCGCTTAAAATACCACAAAGTATGTTGATGCGGCGAACCGCTTTCAGCATGCCAAGTGGGTTAAAACAATTCTGGTTCTGTTGTACTTAAATAACACTTTTAATCGAGTCATAAAATAATGAATATGTGTTAAATGACTGTTTCTACTACCTTGCTATGTAAATTTTCCTTGTTATTTGTTTGCTTATCGTAAATACACAGTAGTAATAACTAATTTGGCCGAATATGAAATTCCGACTTCTGTCCTCTCCGTGTAGTTGCCTGATTTACTGGAATTTCACCATTCATGATTCCATTCACAAGTAATTTTTACAGAATATGTACGGTTATTTTTCAGAGTTAATTTAACTGGATCAAATCGAAGATATTTTTAGTGAATACGAGGCCAAATGGTACTAAAGTGAAACGAAATTTAACACTCATAATTCAGATTTAACTCACATCACTTCACATGCTAATGTAAAGTCTTTTACCCAAGCAACCCTACTAATAAAAAGGTTGAAAGTATTTCACAACAGACAATCAAAATAAGTAAAATAGGATTGGTGAAGTATGGTAAAACATTACAAGGCGTTTTATGAATTTTCCTGTGTATATTCAAGAGAAACTGACTCATAGGACATCAGGTACAGGCTTAAGTTGTATAAAGTTTTGAATATAGAATAAATATACAATATTCAAGTATTGGTTTTTTGTAGGAATCTTTTAGTTTGATTGGTTGGAGGATTTTATCATCAGCTGACATGAGTTAGAGGACCTAGGAGTACTACACAGCTGTTTCGTCCTAGTTCGGGACTCTTCACAGTATACAACCACATGGGTTAGAACCCAGGATCTTCTGTTTACAGGGCGAGCTTGTAGACCATTAAGCCACTGGGACCTGACTTAATGCACCAATGGTTCCCTAACTGATTTCAGCTCATGATGCAATCCTCCAACCAAAGAAAATATACGATAATTTATTGTTTTAAGCTTGTCCTCATTTGTTCAAGCACTGAAATATTTTTTTAAAATATTTTATGTGATACGGTTTGTCTGATATGAACAAATATAAAACTAAGCTTAGGTTACAAGGTTTTGATTTAGTTTACCTTTCCAACATCTTTTACCTGTTATAGAACCACAGATGACGTAGAGTTAAAACGACATAGAAAGTTACTTGCGAGGGAGGTAACTCAGATGATGAGGTGGTTAGGCTTCACCAGATGAGACTTTTGTGGTACGTACTGGGCATTAACTTCTAGCAACGAGTTTCAGAATTCTGAACACTGCTGTTAATCTTCACTTGACTATTGTTATTATATTCCCGTTTCCTTGTTGTGGTGTTATTCCATATCTATTCTGTTTTCGTGATGCAGCAATTCGAAATAGAGAGCCTGTGGAAAATGCCTCACATCAGTTGAGTCCTTGCGAAAAAGCTAGGTTCAATACTAGGTTTATATCGCTTTGTTTCCGTTTAAAAAGCTCGATTTATGGTGTCACTCTATATTCGCCAACTGTCCTTGTACTAAATGATTACACCAATATAAATAAATTCTTGTAGCGTTATTTTTTACACCTTTTTTGAAAACAGAAAATATGGATACTTACGGCACATAAATCAGAAGCAGCAATAGCCAAAAACCATCGCCATTCGCAGGAATTTACAAAATTACCAATACGACATATTTCCTGGAATCGCTCAATGGGTAGTGATAAATCCTTCCACTTTTCTTCTACAACAGGTAGTGGAACTACTTTCATGGAAGCTAGCTATAACAACCAAGTAAAATATATAAGGGAAAAATGTTCACAATGCATTTGAGACCTAAATTTTCTAAAGAACATATGAAAAAATGAAGATGTGACAAAGTGTAGAAATAAGGGGAGGAATAAACCAAAGACCAATTTCATGTTCATTAAGTTGTCAGTAAGGTATTTACTTAGTTGAATAAAATACCTTATGAAACACATCATAAAACCTGATTGAAAACTAAGAATGACAGTCATTGAGACTGATAAAAAGAACCGTTTGCAACTTACTCAGTAAAACTGAAGTCACGCACACTACAGTATTAATGACTAGTGAATGTATTTTCCTTTCATATAACATTAAACGCGGTTACCCATTAATAACTTTCAACAAAGGATTTTTTTAGCTCATGGAATATGAATCAAAATTCACTGCAAAGTTTGGAATTTTTCAAAGTTCACTTTTAAAAAACACTAGCGTGGGTAGATTTAATCACTGTGAAATGTCAAAGTAGCTTCTAAATATTATAATTGCTACCTTTTTGATACTTTTCGAATGGATAAGTGAATTCAAATCCACTTCTTCAGTGATTACTGAAGTTTAGTGAAATTAATAATTGGAACACTATATGCATGTGAAATACACATTCTAGAAGAAACAGTGATTTTAAGTCAAGAGTAAAACATCAATCAGTTACGTGAATTCAGTGATTATCAAAAATACTTTTATTCCTACATTATAATTGAAAGTAAATGCGTATATACTGTGTGAACTGATGGATGACAAATAATAAATTCAGAATTATTTAAGTCCTGTTTGTTGGAAGTCAATGAGTGATAGATAAAAGCCTATTACATAGTAATTTGATTGCTAAATATTTAAAAACTCACCTGATTATTTAAAATTCTGAGTGTGCCTGGCGTGAGACCTGTGTCTGTTTTTTGTGTGCTGATAGGAACTTCTAAACGTTCTTTAACAGGCGGCACTTCGCTTTGTGCCATTGCTTTGAAATAACTATCACAAAAAATATGAGAAATAAAAATTTTCATTACGCGTAAGACCACTTGAGAACATCTTTTGGTTGTGTCCGAATGGCTGCCTTCGTAAATTGTTTTAAAATATCCGGTAGAGCAGGAGGTATGGGGATTTGTTCGTGACAGTAATAAGGATCATTAGAAATAGGCATTAAAATTGAATTTATGACTAACTGTGAGGTCATAGAAACTGGTAATTCAGCAGATTATAACAAAAGTTCTGTGCAAAATATTTATGATGAGCTTGGGTAGCCTTATTATTTGTGGCAGTCTTCGTTTTCAGTGCTGAAGAAATGTTTCATATATTTGACTTATATCATGATGGTTAACCTGACTGTTGCCATGTTTTATCTATGGTTATATACGCCAACTCATGTCGCTAGTTGAGAGGATAAATCTTAGGTTTTCCTTCTATTCTATACAACAGATGAAAGGCAGAATAAGTACTAGGCAAAGTAGCCAAATTAATCCCACAGCTTCTATGATTACAAATGTCATTTTTAGTTTATTGTGTTCATCGAATTATTGTTAGTTGAAAGTGTGATCTTTAGCAAACGTTCTGTGAGACTGTATCATCATATCCAAGTAACAAACACCCTCTTCAGATATTGGATCGAAATTCCTGCTAAAATAAGACTAATCCACAGTTAACTAACGACTTAGGTTGATTCATTCACCGCTGTTTATACAGTAATTTGATTGCGACCTAACTAACTGACCTAAAGTTAGTGATACTATAAATTTTCAAGCTGTATTAGTTATTGCACTCATGGAAATTAGCGAGTTGTCTCTTGAGTTAAAACTGGGTATAAGACGGTTGGAAAAAGCCTAACGGTTTGCCTGGGATAGTTTAAGTAGATGGAACAATGTCGAGGGTTGCGCAATATAACCTGCATACGAGTGAAAGTGTTAATCCTCCAACTCCCAAAGTACTTGGTCCGCTAAGACAAGAGACATTTGAAAACAGCAGATTTATCTTCTGAAGTACGAGATATATTTCGGGATTAGAAACGTGGAGTGATGTTGATTGTTGAGATTCATGCACGGCAGTCTGAACATAAAACGACAGTGTGCTGAAAGATGTGAATGCTTGACGACTTCCCTTCAGCTTGACGAGCCAACTGAAACAGTGAAAGTCACCATCCACTGCTGAATGATCGAAGCTGCAGGCTGACAACTGTGGGGGATTATCTACATAGTTGACAGCATGCAAAGAGCAGGCTGTCTCTGGAGCATAAATAGATCTGAGGAGTAAATTCAACAATGTAGATTGGAGTAATGAGGGATTACTCAACATAAAGCTTACTAGCAGTAATGGCGAAAATTTCAGCAGCATGTGCCTAGTCATGTTCATCAGGAGACTTTTCATTCGAGCAGTTAAATGTATGACTTTATAACGATCAGTGCACTGGCAGTCTGCAAACTGTCTGCACTTTCAAATCCCCTCTAGACAGATAACTCAGATCACGTCGATAAATCCTAATCAATGGGTAAAATGACTGTCCGCCTAGGGCACTGGACGATACCATGATATACCCGATATATACAAACTCCAATTTGGTTACTATGGAACTCTTGACAAATCTGTCTACACCACTATCGTCAACTCCGGACCAATGTTTTAGGTATACACTGCCTGCTTAGAAAAGGCGTGATAAAGAACGATAATGAGGTTGGCAGAATTTGGTTTTAGATGTAGTGGTGAAAAATTGAAGGAAAAAGGTCTTAAAATACCCATACTTTCCTGGACCGTAAGGGACTTAATCACTTCTTACTAATATAAAGGTGCCTTTCGCAAACTTGGTGTAATCATTAATGAAATAGCTAAGCAAAGAGCTGAGTTTGCGTTTGTTTTCGAAACGAGTTCGTGGCGGTCTTCGTGGATTTTCTGCAACTGTGGCCACCGCATACCAGAGAAGCGCTTCAAGAAAGTGATTGTTGACAATGCAGCAGTGCAATCGTACTGAAAAGTCGGGATGCTATCAAGTGGAAACTTTCTTTCATTCATTTAGTATTCCTGACGAGCTCCGTCATCCAACTAGTCACTTAGTTGCCTCGCAATTTTACCTTACTATTACCCGTAACTGTTCAACAGTTCTCTTTGTCATTTCCCATCCACTGATTTTATTTGTCCTTGTCAGTAAAAGTGCAACCAATCCTTGAAGTTTGACGTGCACTTCTAGTTCTAACACGAAAATCCGTTTTTCACAGTTTTCCAGTTCAAGACGCTGATTTCCCAAGGCAATGAATGCTTTTTTCATTAATTCTACAGTGAACGTTTTTGCGGTATGTCCAGTTATCTCAGACCAGTAGTACAGCTTTTGGTGCTGCTGTTCAAGCAGCATCCTCCTAATTCAATCAGTTACTTGGCCGTGAAGTTAAGGAGCGTAAAAGTTTACGACGAAGCCAACATTCTTTTTCACATGATTCATCACTGTCTTTTATAATAATAATAATTTATATTTTCATATAAACATAAATTTACATGAAAATGCATGCCATTTTTACAGGCACGATCAAGTATGATATAATGACAAATAGTAGATTGTCTACAAGTTAATAATGTTTGAACAGCTAAATATTTGATATATATATAAATACACTCATTGTCTGACCCATGTCGTATCATTATTGAATTTCATTAAGCGAATATCCGCTGTGTTCATTTTGCTGTTAGCTACTGGATGCTTTGTTGTGGTGATAGCCCCACCCAAGGGGCCCAAAGTCAGTCCATCATGGGTAATAATCTTCACATTTCAGCAAGTAATTACTGCTCTATCATTCTTTCTGGGCTCCGTCCCTCAATTAGCAGGACGCACGACACGTGTGTAGTCTAATAATTGGTATTAGGAACTACACTTTTGGAAGCAAGTTTTTCTTTCAGCTGACGCACTTCCCGTACAATAAGAGGGTGCCGAACCTTATTGTGGGTTTGAATATAATTATTGGCATCCCTAGTATATTTGCATATTGTGGCCTGAATACAGGCTTAAATAGCGGATTACTGCGAAATTTAACGAGCGAACAGTCGATGTTAGTTGGAAAAGGCAGGAAGGCGGAAACTATGACACCAGGAAACCACTTAGTTAGGCTGCTTGTATACGTTCGAGGTCGCTTCCAATTGGTTTCAACTAGATGTGACGGTTACGTTGGATGTGTGCCTAACAATACTGCTAGTGTTAGTCGCACTGCTTCATGACTCTCTAGCATGGCTTCACCTGGTGGCCAGATTGCTTTTAACACCGCCCCGGCTAGCTAAGGGAGAACATAAAACATACGGCTGGTGAAGAATATATTTTTTGACTACAATTTGAAGAGACTGTACTAGTAGATAATCACACCAGGATGGAGGTGCTAAGCTCTTGTCCCTTAAAAATTGTCTTGACCACCATGTCTTTCACTCCGCACGGATAAACAAAGTGACCATTGACGGTGAAACGGCTGAGGTTCATTTGAGTTGGTGAACTCCTTTGATTTTCTACGTGAAATCAGCCAGTTCTAAGCAATATGCCACTGACTAAAACATTTCATCTCTCCGGTCTGGCAGTGGAACATGGGAAATACGCCTAAAACCATACTTGATTACGCTTTTATTCCTACTAGCCCCACGAACACCGTAGCTTGTGTTGTAGGTGGTCAAAATATTGTCGGATGACTGTGTTCACTAGAGGGTATAATCCTAAAAGTGCATAACAGAACAGTGAGACCCCAAGAGAAGACTTAGTCAACCTGTGGTGAGAGCTGGCTGCTAGCCAAAGTTGGTAGACAGTGATTGACGTCAATGTTTATGTTCCCAATATTGGTGGTGAGAAAATGAGAACAAAGGCTTTGCGTAGGCGGATACAGTTAACATATAGATGAACTGACACAGCCACAAGAGATGCAAGGTTAACTTTGTGTGAGTAACAACCAATCAAAAGACTGTATTTCCTACTAATAATAATCTACAAATAATGTGCATTAAAATCTATAAATATGTGTTGATTTTCCTTATTAAATGATTTGTTGCCTGGTCCTTGTCTTCTGTTGTTACAAACCGACCTAAAAGCTCCTTGGGGAATTGTAGTGTACATTGAACCTTTGAACTTTTGTTTGAACTCACTCACCCGACCTTCGGCACCTTGACCTTGGAGGCCTTTTTCGCAGCTTTTCCGGACACAACGACTTTTGTTGGCATTCCGAGTATAGAATGCTTTCTTCTTTCCTTTCGCAATATGTTTTAAAATGATCATCACTATCTTCAAACTTTCTTGTCCATTCACTGTTACTGTACAAAGCCTTGCTATTTTTATACATCGAAGTTTGCTGATTTCCCACTAACCTTCTAAGGGGGTGATAACCTAGAGTGTACACTGACCCTGTGAACTTTTGTTTGAACTCACTCACCCGGCCTTTGGCACTTCTTCCTCTTTCGATTCGTGAATCTCCTGTACGTTTTTTGTTCGTTCTCTCTTTGTGCCTTCATCCAGTGCACTTTCCGAGCCTACCACAGTCAAGACTGCAGATAAGTGTATGACCTCTTATTTTTATCAAATTTCATATCTCTTTTGTGTGGATACAACTCTGTTCCAGTCACGCTTGCCATCTCAAGTCTTTTTACCTGGATTCCATTCGTTTGTATTTGCACATTAGACAGGGTACAACTAAGGTCATAAAGCGGTGAAGAAGTTTTGTAAGAGTGGTTATTTTGGGTCTAAGTTAAGCCAAGCCTAACTCTTGCAGAATCATGGGAAACTAAAGATTGAGGGCGAAACACTGGATAATCAGACAAGCCATCTCATTCGCCGTGGCATACCGGAGATAGCCATTTCCTTCTACAATAATAGGAATTGCTCGAACGGCAGCATCGAGTTAATATTTGCAGTGAACTAGGGGTAAACTCCTCCGTCGTGAAGTAACCGCGCACATCTCATTAAGTTCTGGCAAAAAATGTGGTAATGTTTTGTTATTCCCCACGGTCTAGTGATACATATATATATATACATAGGTGTCCTGCTAGATGGAACTGAATGGGTTTGGTCTCTTGGCCGCCTGTAGACTTGTATACCGCACTTAGTAAAGACCGGTCAACTGATCACGAATAATTACAGCGAGAATTCAGCTCCTTGAAGAAATGAAATAAGGTGCTTTGATAGAGATTTTTTTACAAAGGAAAGATTTGTTAGAATAGACTGTAAAGCCAAATTCGAACTCAAGGGAAGCAGCGAACATAGGTGTCAGTGAGTCCACATAGTTCACTTCCACCACTGAGGTCTCATACGGAAAAGGAAGAGAGTCATGGTGATAGAAGCATCTCGATAATACTGCTAAACTGAAACATCGACCGAAAGCATATTGGATCCATTTCACATCAACTACATGATAGTCCTAGTCGGCCAGGTGACAGTCAACCAAAATACAACCTAAGTTTGCAGCAGCCTTTGGAAACTGGTTTTGGAACTATGAAAAGAAGGGTTTCGCAGGGTATTGTGTGGCCTTTTCCAACGATTCGTAGACTCGAAGAAACTCCCTAAGGGGTGGAAGACAGACGAAATGCCACAAATTGTTGGCCTGTAGTATCGATCCCAGTATTTTCAATGGTTTGGGGAAGTTTGGCTGACAAATACATCAGAAAACGCCTGGACATGAAAAACTCACATTGTGTAGCACAATATGGCTGGGGGAAATGTCGGATTTGTTTGCAAACTTATGACTGGCTTGGAATGACTGTACATCATATATCATTTGGCAAGAGTAAAGAATGGATACCACGACCAAATAACATTGAGCCAATCAGATCGCCGAGCATTAGGGATGAATGCTTTTTATTATCATAGTCACAACCATCCCCACCGATTCAGGGTGAGGGTTATGGCTGAGGTCAAAGTGAAACTGCAGCCAAGATTATGTACAGCATCCATCTGAAACGCTGAGCAATGTGACTGTTGTCGTCAGGCTGTAATCATTATGAAGTCAATTATTCATTGGGATTGATGGATCTTATAACTGGCACTCATAAAGATCCTGTCGAAGGATTTTGTGCATATCTAAAGTGCGGATTTGAATGGTACATTTCTGTAATCACTCTTATGGAAAGCTGGTGCCTCTCGCTGAGGCGTATTAGATGCATATACCCTACGTGATTCATTTTTATCACATGCGTATCCAGTGAATATATTTTTATACTATATATGCCACTTTCTACCTTTCACGCCTTTGGAAGTATATGACTGATTAAAGTCGTATAGAGTACGAAAGACATCTAGTGCTGAACTGTGTACACTTCGCAGAAAGACCGTATTTAAAGTGTGACTAAAATTAATACCGTAGCTGAAAAGCAGTACGGGAAAGGCAACAGAGTCAGACGCAGCAAAGGTTGAAGACTCTGGATGCTTTTTAGCGTCTCCTTGTCCGATCGTACCACCCAGGAGTTTAGCAAGTCTATCGCCACTAAAGGCCCCTAAGAGCGGTAGAGGACGCAGTGGTTCTCGAAATATTGTCTGAACTGAACCCAGGTAAATCACCTGGGCAAGTTAGACTCCACTCTAGACTGTTAATCTCCTTGGCAGGCATGGTATGCATTCCACTTATGGAGAATTTTAGTGGCCCTGACCCATGCTAGACTACTCAGGGACTTGAAGTATGCAATCGTAAACCGTATCTTCAAAGAGGGAAACAGGCAACTGGTATCTAACTACCAGCCTGTAAGTCTGACACACATTATAGCAAAGGTATTAGAAACAATCATAAGGGATCAGTTATTAGCCCATATGGAGAAACATGACTTACTGGCGGTAAACAGCATAGATTCCAACCAAGACGATCCAGGCTAACAAAATTACTGTTACCTAGAAAAGGTTGCGTAGAAACAGAGGTGTTAAACCTGCTACCACACATTGTTTTTGTCGACTCCAGCAAAGCTTTCCATAAGGTGTCCCACTTAGATCTCCTTAGTAATTTAAAAGCTTTTGTGTTAGACTTTCGCCCGTGTTTCTGGGACTACCTGATAGGTAGGAGGCTAAAGGTAAGGCCTAATAGTGTACTGCCAAGGTGGAAAACGGTAGTGGAAGGAGCACTTCAGGGAACTGCACTAGGACTTTTGTTATTCCTATTGTACGTAAATGAACTACAGAAAATTCCTACCTGATCTTCACTACTATTTGCTGATGACTTCAAGATCTGGAGAACTGTTAACACTAACGATGATAGGTCGGTCCTACAAGGTGGTCTAGATAAATAACTGAATGGTCGAACATCTGGAGTCCGGGAAACTTATTCCAAGAGCAGCGTGGTCACACACTTAGGTTAGACATCTTGCACGTAGTACTCCCTAGGGGACACGGAACTGCCAGATAATAACAGACAAAAAGACTCAGGAATTATTGTCAGCCATGATTTAATAATAGCTGCATATTGTGGTGTTTCTGAAGCTGAGGCTTTTCGAATGCTGCGAGCACTTCAGCGTGCTCTCAAACAGTTAAATTAGTCAATGTTCAGAGTACTACAGGAGACATCTGTCAGGATTCATCTAGAATACTGCATATAGGCGGTGAGTTCATGTTTCAAGAAGGAAGCACATATCCTGGAAAAGTATATAGGGTAGGAAACAAATTATTCACTGGTATCTTACATCTTTTCTGTGAGAAGTGTATGGAACATTTCAATCTCTTCGGATTATCTCACCGAAGGAGGAGAGGTGACCTAATTTAAGCATGTTGTATAATAAAGGGTGATTTGGGGATGGGGCTTTCTAGCCTCTTATTTCCCTCCGAGATACATTTACTGGATCCCATAGAAAAGGTGTTCAAGTGGCAGACGAACAAAATAAGTGTGGAATTTAGCTTCTCTCAGAGAATGGTCAACGACTGGAACTCTTTAACTTATTCAGTAGTATCAGTCCAGTCAGTGAACGCCTTCAGAGATGAATTAGATCCACGCAGAGGTATTTATTGCAAGTATTAACATAGGCCACAAGAACCTAATACCTATGTTATGTGAATCTGAATCTGAACGAATTGCTGATTCAAGGTCATTTGACTAAGGTAACAGCTTTACACTGTTACCCATCAGCTTTTATGTTTTCTATATCAATGCTAGGTGTTTCGCGAAGTCGTGTTATGCCCTGAAAGTGCTACAGATTATAAGCAGCAACACAGTCTTCCAAGGAGTACTGCATTTCTAAGCAAAACCCTCACAGCGTTTGATTGTAGTTTCTGTTGGCGCTAAGTTGAAAGGTTTGCGTTTTGATTATTATAAAAAGTTTTATGTTGTCAGCTATATTGGTTAAGTTACAACCTTCTCCAGCTGCCCTTTATTGGGATTGGCCTGCATTTATAAATATATTTTTTTAAACTGGGATTTCCTTGCGCAAAGGATTGTGTTTACTCACTAGTCGAAGTGATCACAAGCCAGTTGGCACTTGCCATGTATTGCAGGTCACTAGACGATCAATGAAATGAAGAAAACACGGACTTACAAAACTCGACTCATCTATGGCCTGTGTCTTATTAGTGGCAACATAACTTGCAGGTTGGCTGCAATTCTTCCATTGTTGATATGTCTGCAGATCTGTGCATTTAATCTTTTATTAATTACTTCTACTCATCTTAGTTTTCAAGTCACTACGTCGGCACTGTTGTGTGACTTTCTGGTGGACACCTTTTACGATGCGAGAAATTCAACAACCCTGAGTGCTAGACCCCATGCCTAAGTGGATGTTTTTATGAAAAAAAATTGTATAGGACACGGTGTGTTTATCAACAAATGCCAGTTGCTCATCCTTAGCGCTAGTAAAATTCAGTGACTACATGCACATTCGCGTTTTTTACCCCCAGTTATTACCGATTTGTGGGATATAATTTCATCAAAAAGTCCGAATCAGTGTGGATGTATTATTTCAATATCCAATATCGTTTTTACGAGCTAGTATAAACCAATTTGATTTCTTTGTGCTCGCCTCTTGATTGTGATGTAGAGGTTCCTGATCTTCGGTAAACGTCTGCGTAGCTCGTCCCGCCACTCGACTGCCGTAGCTTTGGTTGACTCCTAAAGGAGTAGTGCAGGGGTTAATTATGTGGTTTGTAGTATGAGGTGTGTTAAGACTGTTACTACTGTGAATGGAGTTGATCCTTTCACCAGTTGATCCTTCGGTATCGTCGTCAATAGAAAAGAGATAATAATAATAATAATAATAATAATAATAGATATAATTAGTGAAGGTATTCAGACTAACAGACAGAAAAAGAATAAGAAAACGTAACAACAGTCAGTCAACCGGTATATATATATATATATATATATATATACCAGTAATAATGATAATAATAATAGGTGTAGTTAAAGCTGTCAGGAGTAAGACGGAAGAGAATGTAAAGAAATAAAACGACCAGTTTAATTGTCTACCTTTGAATGGTGTATGCGATTTTAAGGGGATAGGCCATTTGGATGCAGTCCTTGTGTCGCTGCATGGTTGTCCAGCCTTCGCTTAAAGGCGTCCACAGATGGTGCCATAGCTACATCTGCCGGTAAGGAATTCCAGGGACGGCAAACCCGCAGGGAAAAGAAGTGGGGGCGCACCCGGGTCCTTGCCCTCTGATGAGCTGTCCTTCTAGGATTTCCACGAGGGAGCCTATACCTACTCAATGGCAGAACACCTTTGTTTGGGTGATTCTGATCATTTATTATTTTGTAGGCAGTAATTAAATCCCCCCTAAGACGACGGTAACTAAGTGTGAATAGGTCTAATTTCTTCAGCCTTTCATCATATGGTTTATTTCGGAGACCAACCACTCCTTTTGTCGCCCGTCGTTGGACTCTTTCCAAGAGGTTGGCGTCTCTTCTAAGCAGTGGGGGTGCAATGATATTATGCACTTCAAGATGCGGTCTGACGTATGTTTTATACAACCTTAGAAAGAGCTCAGGAGTGAGTGCACCTAATTGTCTATGTGTAAAGTGTATGACCGCATATGCCCTCGCTACATCCCCCGTGTAATTTACGCTTGTGTCCATTATTGCTACTAAAGTTTCTGCATTATTTCCAAATTAAATCCATTGATCTTAATGGATAAATGAAAGGTTACTGTTATTTTTTGGAAACCGAACATTACTGTCGAAGTCATTAGCATATGAAAGTTAGGTTGAGCGACTAAATTACTTGAAGTCTAACTGACTGACTGGAAAATTCCTCGAAAGTGCGTCACACACTTCAAAACTTAGTAAAAAGATTAAATGTAATGTAACCACAATAAATAAAGACATCTGATAAAATACAGTTGAATGAGGACTAGTAAGTATTTTCATAATGTAGATATGTACACCATTGAGGACAATTTTGAGCCATTGATTCTTAACTTCGCATCCAGACACATCATTCCGTGTTAATGTTACTTTTATAATAATTGGGGAATTTTTAAAAATATTTTTCTTGAAGTTATTTGCTTGATAAATAGTGCTACTTGTACGGTCACAGAAAGATAGAACACAACAAGCGAATATGTATTCACCAATATGTTAACTAGTATACAGTAGTATAATCAAAGTGATTTGAAAAGGATAGAACCAATCAATAAACTAAGTATCAATCCCATATCATTAATTATGCATTGTCTGGAAAAGATGAAATCGATTGCTCCATTATAGATAAGATTTTATTTTAAGAAATCAGTGTTATACTCACTCAGTTAGGATTGGCTCTGTGGGCTAAAAGACCCGGTGGACCCAACTAAACAAAGTCAAATAATATGACTTACAAAATACCTTGCAATGACTGTGATTTATGCTAACTGCATAGGTCAAACTAGTAGGTCGGGGGTAGTCAGATTGTCAGAACATAAGAATTTAGCTAAGGTAAGAATGGCTGACCCCGAGAAGATAAGTAATTTAGAAAAAGCTCAGCGATTGCACTGCATGCATTAAAACACAATAGGATGGGAGAGGGTTAAAATTTCAAGAAGTAGTGCAGGTCGGTGAAGAGAAAGGTTCATTAATGCGTCATTGTTCATGGAGTCTACACCCAACACAACACATGCAAAAGAAATGACTCAACGCAAATGCCAGAGATATGAAAGATATTATTACCACCAGTCAGTGAAATCAGAGGAGGATAATAAATAATCTTAAAATTCTATTTCATTTCACATACATTATAACATTCTAACAAGTTACTTATTTTGACTATAAAAACATCTTGTTTCCCATCTGGTTGTACTTTATTGATAACACTAATATTATTTCTGAATGTACATCATCTAATATTGATTTTTATTCAGATGTTTAATCAATTTCACTCATGTATATAAATGAAGGAGAAAAGTTGTGTGAGCAACTTGATATGATTATGAGTGGCAATAATTTATCCTTGAAACGTCATCAGTTAATATAACTGTACAACACTGTGATTTATCAAAATAAAATCTTATCTATAATGGAGTTATACTCTACCGCAGTGCCAAAGTTTTATACTTATATAAAATCAATCGACATGCCAAATGTAGATCCTCATTTGGAAAATATTTTATTCAAGTGTCATTTTCCTGTGTATTACACCATGATTTATTTTAGTGCAAACCTTTTCAAGTCTTATCTCCACTTTTAGAAAACGGTGCTAATTGGATTTTGAGGGCTGAATTAACTATAATGTGAAATAGCAGTGTTCTGTAGAAATTCTTCTGGTGCCTAAAAGTTGAGTAGCTTTTTATGTAGATGTTACTAAACACTAAACTGAGGAAAATAAGTTTCGCTATGTTAGAAACCTAATTTAACTCACCATTAGATAGTTGACCACTGGGTTTTAGAAAAAGCTACTGAATGGGAACTTTAATCTATTTGTTGAAGTGGCATCTTCTAACAGAAATGTCAAATTATTCGTTGCGTCGATCTGGCCGTTTATTTCTACAAAATGTTGTAGACCTAAAAAACATTAATACGTATTTGTAGTGACTAGCAAAGATTGTAGCGGTCAACCGGTTATGTGCCTTAAATTCACTATTCCTTCTACCTGTGACTTGGCATATGTAAGCTGTCGATGCACACTGAATGATCACTACAGAATAAAAGTAATACACGTTCGCTAGTTACAATAAATTCGTAAGATTTCTTTGTTTCAACACTTTTGTTTGTTAATTTCGTTTTAAGCATGAACTGCTAGGTTATCATCAAAAGGCGATAAGTTGGAAACTAGTTTAGAATTACGGTGTAAGAGGTAAGGGCCTTCCGAAATTAACCTATGGTCCCTTTAGTCAGGGCGAGTGTGTCTATATTTTCTTTTTACTAAATAAAAATTTTTAGATGTGGCGTTATGCGAACCATGTTCAGATTTATTGGTTTCTGAAATTTGGACGTAAGGTGTATTACTGTAAAAATCGTTATAAAAATTTCGTTTCCCACTAACAGTGAGGTAAAGCTATGTTTTTATTGACGTTTCACTGTCTAGTGCAGCATCTTACATTTAACTGCGGCAAATCGCATGCTGAACAGTTTATTCAAAAGATCCTCCATTTTGACTGCATTTTCATCGGCGAGGGATGTATAATCAATGAGATTGTTTCTTGGTAATAGGTCAGTCTGTGAGTTGCTAAATTTGGTCACATCGATTAGCACATCTATGATGAAATTAAACAAGTAGGGACATTGGGCGTCCTTGATGAATAACACTGGTCGCCTTTACTTCATACGACAACTCTATAAGATCTTACGTAGCTGCATGAGTTCGAGTAGAGTACCTAAATCGATATCATATACTTTTCTGCCACTCGCTTCACGACCAGACATTACCATAAGACCTGTCTATCGATGGAGTCAAATGCTGCCCATATCAATTATTGGATGCCGGTGAGTATGGCTGTTTCAGAATTTATCGAAGAGTGGACATATGATCAATAAACCTTCGTCCAGGCTTAAAGCCTGGCTAGTCTTTTCGAGTTTGTTTCACACCAGCACTGCTTGGTCTACGGAAGATTAGTGACCCTGGGATTTTGTATACACGCTTAGTCAAACTGATCCCCTTATGATTATCACAGCAAAATTCCTCTTTACCAGCTGGGACAATCAATGATTTTCACTAATTTATCTCAGATTCCAGCACACTACACACTATCCTAGCTAATTACCATTACTCTTAAACTCCACTGTAGTTACGCCATCACTGCTTTACCCCGTTTTAGATTTTAGACAGCTTTCCCAACCTTAGTTAAAGTTGGAAGATCGATATATGCGTCCCACTCAAGTAGATGTTGGATGCTGGCAGAATCCAGCGTATCTCTATGCCAGTTAAGTTTCTCTTCACAGTGTTGTCATTGGCGTTCTAATTGTTTATCGTGGGAGGTAATTAAAGTATTATCCTCTGAAATCGTTTCAATTGCCATAGGTCTTTTTACCGCCTTTTTCCTTAATGAGTCTGGATAATTGTCTAGTGTTGCCTAACTGGTATGCTCTTTCCATCTATTTCTCTTCATCTTCGTTGTACAGCTTGCATTTGAGCAGTTTTCGATCCTCGTCATGCTGGAAATAATTTTTAGGCATCATTGTTTGTATCATCTGAACAGTTACTCCCTCCAAACCAACTTGTAAAACAAGTCAGTGTGTAACTTTACGGGTGACTGGGGCTTTATGTCATCTACAAACAACAACATTTAAGACATAAGCGCCATCCTCAATTTATTCACTTAAAGCAATACTAGAAGTTACAAGACTGATCCTAAAAAAAACTTATTACAAATGTGCGAGAGCATATTGATTTTTAATCCTTCACGTTCCCGGTGGAACATAGGTCTTGAAGTGTTTATTTTTAAAGGATGATGTTGCTAGCCTCCTCTTTACCAGTTTAGCGAGGTAAAGAAGTGCATCGTCCGGGGATCGAACCCCGGACCATGTGCATGGTTGGCGAGCATCCTAACCACTGTGCCACCGACGCGAGAGCGCATGGTGTCTAACAATAGAAAGGTTTATTAAGATCTCGATCAACAAGAGTGGGTCCTTAGGAGTTTATCTCAAACAGGTGTTTGGAGTAAAAAAGTTTTTCCATTTTATGTCATGTAAGCGGTTCATAAAATTCGGAGTAAAATATAAAGTTAAAAATCCTCGTTTTTCATGTAACAAAAGTCTTTTCGATAATTTAGCGAATCTTCGAAGATTAGATTGTGTATTTCAGTAATTGTATTGTTTTCCGAATTTAGAAAGCACTGTAAATGCATGAACTGTTGTTAGATAGTTAGAGGCATTCCACAGAAAGCCTTGGACATAAGTCCTGTGCTTGTTGGCATTCGTCAGCAAGGCGTATCTACAGTCTTGAAGGAACTCATGTCCCTTCTGAGATTCGAACCCGTGTAACTCAGTGCTACAGTCAGAGACGTTACAATCAGGCTATTTGGGCTAGAATATCTGACCAGAGTCAACAGCTACGAAACCTAGGTCAAAGGCTTTCTGCCAATTCCCTCCAACCATCTAATAAAAACAACAAAAGCTCAGAGTGCACTGTGATTGCCGGTCACCTAGCATGCTAGCCACATTACAAACTGGACTGATAGAATTCAATCTGCATTAAATGATGGACTAAACTCATGAAATTAGTTACTATCTAGTGTCCGATGAAATTAAAAATACAGGAACGCAATACACTTGTTTCATTCTAAGAGATTGAATAATCCATGGTCAACTATGTGTTAAAAGAAATATCCAGCTACAGTGTGAACTACACATACACTACCAGTTATTTTCCTATTATCTATGTAGGTTGTGAATGAAGTCATCTACAATCAAAGGGATGGAGTCGCCATGGGGTCTCCTTTAGGACCGCTCTTAGCGAATGTCTTAATGGCAAGCTTAGAGGACGGCCCACTAAAGGAAACCATCGAGTGTGTTTATGTATTAAAGATATATAGATGATACCTTCATTGTCTGTGAGGAAAACTCTTCAACTGCCGAACTTCTTGGAATATTTAATGGTTCTCACCCATCTTTGCTTTTCACGGTCGAAGAAGAGTCGAATTCCTCGTTTCACTTCCTTGACGTTAAGCTAGATAGAAGAGAGAATGGAATGCTGTTAAGGTTGATTTACCGAAAGCCAACATTCACAGGGCAGTACACTAACTTCAACAGTTGGGTACCTTTAGGGAAAAAGAGAAATCTTATTCATTCCTTATGCTCCAGAATTCATAAAATCTGCTCTATAGAGACAATCGGTAGAGAACTAAGTAACCTTCGATCAAATCTCCTCAACAATGGATATCCTACGAGGTTTATTGAACGTAACATCAAGAAAGAATCCGCCCCTAGACAAATCACAGTGCCAAAGAAAAAACTTTATGAGTCTTGCATTCAAAGGTGACACCATTTCTGAATTGATTAAAAATCGTTTATCTAAATGTATTAAACGCTCTTTTCATGCAGCTGACTTGCAACTAGTTTTTACCAGCCGAAATATGATTAGACAATGCGTCAAGGATAGATTACCGCTTATGTCCACATCTATGTGCATTTACTCTTTTACCTGCTCCTGTGGAGCTGATTATATTGGACGTTGTAAGCGTACTCTCCGAAAACGTGTAGCTGAACACTATCCGGTTTGGTTAATGAAAGGCGAACGTAGAACTGCGAAGTCGTCTATTTGTGATCACCTGTTAGAGTCTGGTCATTCAGCCCCACGTGATTCATCCTTCAAGGTTATCTACATGGCAAAATCGAATCGCTCCAAAAGTTTACGTTTTCTTCACTTATGCATAGCCGAAGCTTTAGCTATACATGAACAAAAACCTAAATTATGTGTTCAAAAACGTTATGTCAAACCCCTTTCTTTACCTTGGTCATAGTAATGTTCTTTCTAGTTTTTATTTTATTTTACCACTTGAATTCATTCCACTTCACTTCACATCTTCATTCTTATCGTAGTCGTACTCCTAATTTTTGAAATTTTTAGACAACGCTTGAAATTAAAAAAAAATTTGATATCAATTCACTTATAAAACAATCTTTATTAATTTTGTAATTCATCCACTTCAACTCTACCCCTTATAACACTTTAATTATCGTTATTTTTATCACATGTATATGCATATTGACTGAGCAATTATTTAGTGCCACCTTTTCTGTAATATAAATACGACTGTACAGCTTGAAAATGAAGTCGTTGAAAAGAAATTTCTTCGCTGAACAAAAAACTGTTTTTACTTATCAATAAATGGGTATTTTTCGTGATTTACTATCTATTTACCTAAATCCTTTTTTATGTAGAATACAGTTTATATGAACGTATCATTTGTTGGAAGTAAAATGATTCAGTGGATTTCAGCCCTGCCTGAAAAGCATGAATTACCATGACTTCCTTAAAGTTTATCATATCTTATTAAACTATAGTAAAATCTGAGTTATCTTTTTATTTTCCTGTGAGATTATTTTATACCCTGTCATTTTCACTGATATAGTCTTTCCTTTTATTATGATTTAATACACAGGTTACAATCCAGAAGACAGACCTACTAGCCTTATTCTAAAATGGCAGAAAAACGTTCTGCACGACAACGTAAAGTTCAAAATTATTCTCTCTTAGCTGACGAAAGTGATGATGAATTCTTTTATGATGAGGAACCAGTCAAACATAAGAAGTACAATAATGATGATGATGATGATGACATAGTAGAAAAGTCAACCAGTAAATCAACTAAAACTAAAAAGAAAACAGCAAAGGAAAAATCAGTGAAAAAACCACCCGAGGCAACTCCTGCATCAAAAGAGAATCAACTTCCTAAAACTGTTAATGAAATAAAGCCGACTAATTTAAGTCCTGCAGTGCTGCCTCACTCTGAAACACCTAAATCACCTGTAATCAGTACCACATCAAGATTCCTGTCGAAATCTGTCCCTTCTACTCCTGTTCATTCAGCTGTATCACTGTCTAATGCAGCAGTCACGCCACCACCGTCTTTAGGTAAGGCGTTTATTCCTGTCACTCCATCTAGTGGTCTGCGTCTTGGTTTGTCACGTACAAAAAAATTACGACCTTTGCACACAAATGTACGCATAACATAATCTACAGGATATTTTTGTCTTTTGTATATAGAAAAATTTTTGAAACCTTACTTTATATTTGTATTGTAGAAAACTATCTTTATATAGAAGTACAACTATATATTATTATCATTGTGACTTTTCAGGAGAATACTCTACATGTGTTGTTATGATTTCCAAGTACATATTATCAAGTGCACATCCTTCTTTGTAATCTAATCCAGGACTAAATTTATTTTATACATAAATATTTGCATTTACATTATGAAGTGTTGTTTCTTTCAATAATTGGGGACTGTATAGTTTACAGTTCACAATTTATTTAGGATAGTAGGCCATATGCCTGTGTTAATCCTTTCGATTTGTTGCACACAGGAGATCCAATCTCGCCTTGAATGAATCAACGGATGGCGCTGATACGACGTGTTCCGGTAGGGAGTTCCAATGGTTCACAATTCGATGCGAAAAACGGATCTCCAGACGCAGATGATTCAACCGTGGTTTTTGAACCTTGAGGTGATGTGGTCCTCGCAATTGGTTGGTGCTAGAAGGAAGAAATAAATTAGATAAATTAGCTCTAAAATCATTTCTTAGGATACGGTATGCTAGTATTAGTTAGGTCACCCCTAAGTTGTCTGTTTGACAGTGGAAATAAACCCAGTCGACTTAACCTCTCCTCATATGAGAGGGTTGAGAAACCCTTTATTAGCTTAGTTCCTACTCTTTGCACCCTTTCTAATAAGTCTATTTCGTATTTGAAACACGGGCTCGCTGCCTGGATCCCATATTCCAAATGAAGTCTGATATAAGTTGGATATAATATACGAAATATATCAGCGTCAAAGTTCGCAGAAGCCTTGCGTATGGCCCATAATATTCGAAAACCCTTAGTGGCTGCAGCTCCACAGTTTGTTGCTGTTTTCAAGTCATGCTGCACAACCACTCCCAAGTCCTTGTACTCAATGACCACTGGTAGAGTAATGCCATTCATTGAGTAATTGTGCACGTGAATATGAGGTACATGCATAATTACACTCTTGCTTAAGTTAATCTCCAAGGCCCAGTGCTTACACCAGTCACTTAACAAGTTTAAATCTTAGTTGAGTTCGAAAATAAAGATTTAGCTGGCTATCCGATTCTTACTACCAACTTCTTGGTCACTAATCCCAATACTTTAAAGAATGAAACATGATTGAGAAAATGGGTCACTGAGCGTTCCACCAAGATATCATGTAGGTAGGTGATGTGGTTTTTTTGGTCCATTCAGGTGAATGTCTCCTACTTCATTTAGATGAAGCTGTGAGTGATAGTCAGACTATTTGGGATCATCATTGTTGAGGGTTTGTTTCTGTAAAAATTGTAAGAGATTTCATATTCTTGATGAACATGAACAATTGTATATCCTATGGGAAGCAGTAGGCTGAAAATTGTGACTCATGTCTCAGTATTTTAGAATAGTTGATCTGGCGTCAGATAATTTGATACCAGCGCTTAAAGAGTTAGTGTCAGACAAATCTGTTGTTGTAATAATAGTAATATGAAATGCAATTAAAACTAAAATGTTTGTGATTATAATCGTAGTTAAATGTCAAATGGCAAAGCAAATTAATGTCATATATAGAATAATTCATAGGATGGATAGAACTTGAAAAAGGTGTGCAATTATAAGATTAGTAGACAAATCGAGTAAAATAAAAAAGTTACGTAATATTGTGTGAAATTTAATAGCATAGAATCTACTGTTGTTTAAAGGAATTGATTTAGAATGACAAGTGAAATAATACCGGGGACAATTAAAAGTGAGAGTAGTAATAGTAACAATTGACTTAATAAGGAAGAGTATACAAATTGAATAGACAAAAATGAAAGAAAAAATGAAGAATTGGTAGAGCTAAAATATGATTGGGGATTTCCATACTTTAGCATAGAGGGATTAAGACCATGAAAGTTGGAGGGTTTGAAGGAACTTTTTCTGTACACAGAGATCTGGCTTTTCTGCTTCGATAGCCAAAAGCTTCAGCAATACAGATGAATCGGGTACGTAGGGATTTGGGTAAATTACTCTTTGCCTTGTAGATGACTTTGAAGGCGGAGGCTGTAGAGATAGGGTGATCATTATCGACCAGATGTTCAATGATCACGCTTCTTATTGCTCCACTACCACCTTTTCGTAACCATGCAGGATAGTGTTCTTACACCCTCTTGGACAAAACTCGTATCGAACGACCGATATACCTAGCTCCACACGAGCAGGTGAATTGATAAACACACATAGAGTTGGTCAACCACGGGATCTTGTCCTTCAGGTTATTGAACAATAATGCATTCACACCTATGTTTCAATTCCCTCACCGGATATAACTTCTTAAAAATCTGTTGTTGTGTCAGTTGAACCATATTAACACTTTCAATGTTTTTATTGAATCATAATGTAAAGTCCTCATAAGCTTCTATTTCTAGTGAGATAGATATTTCACTAATTGGTAATAAGTATATTTTGTTTAACAAACCTTTGTGTTCACTGGTCTAGGCTTTCGACGACCAATTAACGTGTCAAAGCGTTGTGATTCTTATCTATCTTGCAAGTTTCGAGCACACTGGTCAGTACAGCCTGCTGCGCACATCTAATCATGTCAATTCTTAGTTCTCAGTGTTTCTCCTAGGAGGCTGCTTCACAATTTCCCCCTTATTTTAACCCCACAATTTTCCCATTAATCCCTTTTAGCTTCTTATTTTCACTTATAGAGTTAAGGGAAAGTATTAAAAAAGGGTAGGGTTATACAGCTTATTAGGAGTTCTTTGTTTTGTTTCAGTTGATTTAATTCTTCTCTATATTGTCTTGTTAGGTGATAGTATACTTTTGGCTTTGTATTCAGATACTGATAACAGCAATCAATTATTGTTGCTTTGAATCGCTGCATTTCTTGTTCGGAGGTTGGAGTTAAATCATTTGTTTGGGTGATTAAGTTTTCAAATTGTACATGAGTATGTAGTCTGTTGGCGTTTAGGTTGACGTCGCAGAATTTCGGACCCATGGATAGGGCTTCTAACTGCAGGTTGGATAAAACTATCGAAGAGCAGTTAAATAGGAATTTTGAGGAGTCTTCAGGGAACTGTTTGTGTGCTTTGATGGATTTGAGGCTTTTTGTGAGTTGCAATATAGTAGATTGTGCCCGTTTTTCAGTGACTGTATTGACGTATTCAGTAAACCTCTGAGTGTCACTAGGTAGCAGATCGTGGAGAGCTGGAGACCTTTGTGGAATGTTGCGTTGTAGTTCTGGAGTACGTGATTTAATAGAGTCGATAAGATTTAATGCATGTCGTTGGAGAGATTTTGTGTTGGGATATATGTGACTTCTTCTCAGTGCTTTCCAAAACCACTTTGGATATTCGCGATTGGTGATACAATCATTGAAAAAAGTAATTTTCGCTATCGCAAGTTTGACAGAGTACCGTAGAAACCCATTGAGTTCCTTGACTGTTGAGGGGTCCTTGCAAATTTTTAATTCATGAGAAATTCCCATTCGAACATCAATAGACAGAAGACAAGTAGTTCAGCGAAGAGTCCCTTTTCGGCGAATTCATTTTCATAGCTGTACAATCGCAAGTATATATATGGTTGTTTTGTATGTGTGTACATTAAATTTATCAAACGAAATTACAATTAGTAAGTTCAGATGAATTGGATGTTGATATAAGAGGGTAGTAACAGCTTACAGCTTACACAAAACCGATGCCAATTTATCTATGATAAAAAAGAACGTCAAATAAACAGTTAACTATTGAAAATTAATCTGATAGTCGCTAGTGACTGACTACAAGATGAAATTGCCTGGAGTTCTAGTGAGAAGTTGTGACCAGTGAGGATCACTAGGACAGTTGTGAGGAAAAATATTCGCTAGTGATATTGGCTAGCGACCGGGCGACCTGGAAGGTTCCAGGTTCAACCTCTGGTGGGGTCGCGGGCACGTACTGATAGAGTCCCATACGTGGACGAAACAGCTGTCCAGTACTGCAAGGTTGGTTTTGACTGATTAAACTAGAAACAGAAAGTAGTTACTGAAATACAATTAAGTAGGCAATTAATTTTTTAGAAAATGCATCAATACCTTGCTATTATCAATGCATATTTCGACCTTGATCTTCTTTTCAATGGATTAAAATTTCCTAGATAAATCGGAACTGATCTTTGGTGCAATTATGAACAGTAAATTGTTTCCTAAATGTTACTAACCAGTATATAATGCTGCTTCACTGTGACACATCTCATTAATGAATTATTATAAACCAAAGAAAGACTAGACATTCAGGATAAAATGATGTCATCATTCTGTTTCACACGTTCTCCTCATCAACTGCTGCAAACTACCTGAAATCACAGTGGTTATAAAAAACAATGACAATAACATACTTCAGTGTTTCAATGGCAGTAGAGAAAACACTATAAAATCAACGCATCCGAAACATGAGCATTACAATTTTCAGTTTAAGTTACTATCAATCTATATGCTTTCAAAATAGAAAAGGAGAGTGGGAAGAGGAGTAGAAAGAAAACAGAAAAATCTAATAAGCGGTGTTACCTAGTAGGTTCACATGGCAACTCAAGGTTATTAGTTCATAAAATTTCGAAGTTTGCTCAGTGAGTTGAAATCACTAATATGGATGACTAATCAGTGTAATCAAAATGCAGTTACCAAGGGAGTGAGAGATTGATTACACTCTCTTTCTGTGTATGCATAAGTTTGGTTTGAAACGCTTGGCTGCAATTGCTTCAGCAAATCGTAGTTAATTTGTTATTCTTTGTATGTTAAATATTTTGAAGGAGTTAGAAATTTCGACTAAGGCGTCTAGTAATTGCATTTTGTGAATGTTTGCTTCCTTTTAGATATAATTTTCTAAGGATATGCTCTAAAAACCGGATGGAAGCCCTTCTTTCTGTCCTTCCAATGTACTTGCTCCTGCAAGTGCACGTAAATTTGTAAACGCAGCTGGAAGTGACATCATTGGGGTACTTATCCCGGTGGATTGGCTTATGGAGCATATGGTGCTGTATAGCGTTACGAGCTTAGTTACATGGAAGCATCTTGTTATTGCTCCTTTCATTCTCTTGTCAATCTTTCGTGATACTGCTTCTTCTTTGAATGGGAGACAAATGAACACTTTCTTCTTTTCAACAATTGGGGGTTTCGTTCTCTCTTTTTTTTTACTGTACTTTTGGATAAATC